AATCTTTAACACCTTGTATCCCCAGCAGACTCAAGGGAGTGATCAAAGATTTTTGTCGCGAGGGGAAATACAAGATCCTGGATTGGACTGATCCCGGTGCTTATTGATAAGGACCAGTAGCTATCTGCTTGGATGTTAAATATACAACTTTTTGGCAGGCCAACAGCGATATTAAGTGAAAAATACACAAATACATTAATTCTCTCTTGATCACCATGTGTTATTTTTTTAAACGAATGCCATTAGTAATTGATTTGGGGCAATTTATTTTAAATGCGTGTTTATTTTGTTGAACTGTAGATAAAAACACGTAAAGCAAAATATCCCATTAACTCCTAAATGTGCTTTGAGCGGGCTTCAGCTCATTTACATAAAAACTGCAACGGAGTAGTCAGACGCCTGTATGACATACAAAGACTACACAATGTACATGTACATAATTACGTGACGGGAACCAGTCCAGATCCAGAGTGAGCTGCCTGATGTGCGTGCATGCGCAAAACCTATACATGAGGCATTTCCTTTGCGAAGTGTGCAACTTTCTACCAGAAGTGAAAACCCGTTTTGAGTGTAGTGAACCTTACTCCCACTATAGGCTCCCATTTCGAGTTTATCTTGGCGAGAGCAACATGGTCCGAAGACTTTCTCTGTACGCGAAGTCTCGCATCTGTCTGCTAGATTCTTCCGGGGCTCGCCAAAAACAGATTATCGAAGACCTACAGAAGGACGGCATAGTCGTAATTCGACGAACGGTACGACTGTTTCTAAAGAAATTTAAAACAACGGGATCTTTCGCGAATAGAGCGGGGTGTGGGCGTCCTCGAAAATTTCCAGCATCCCTAAATCAGCTTATTCACGATTTGTACGAAAATGACGACGAGCTAACTTCTCGTGATGTCAGCCTTATTTTGTATAACATATTTGGTCTTGAGGTGGCAGAATCAACTATTCGCCGCATTCGTTTAAAGTTAGGTTGGGTGGCGAGTGGACCGGCCTACTGCCAACTAATACGTGACGCCAACAAACAAGCACGCCTTGATTTCTGCCGTGATGCTGTAGGTCGTGGTGACACCTTCGACGACGTTATTTTCACAGATGAGTGTACGGTGCAGCTCGACAGGCACAGCAAGCTGACGTTTCGAAAGAAAGGCTGTCCAAGGAAACTCAAGCCGAAAGCCAAACACCCAGTTAAGCTGCATGTGTGGGCGGGCATTTCAAAGCGGGGGAAGACTCCCATCGTTGTCTTTCAAGACATAATGGACAGTCACTTCTACCGGGAGGAAATTCTGGAGAAAACACTTCTCCCTTTCATCCAGAAGCGCTTCCTACGTGGGCATCGCTTCCAGCAGGACAACGATCCCAAGCATACAGCTCGAGAAACTAAAGAATTTATGCAGCAGACCGGGATCAACTGGTTTCCTTTTCCCGCAGAATCGCCCGATCTTAACCCCATAGAATGTCTGTGGCACGAACTCAAGCACTTTCTTCGACGCAAGGTTAAACCAGCGAGCAAAGATGAACTCGTCGAAGGAATTCACCTCTTCTGGCGAACCAAGGTGACAGTAGAGTCGTGCACACGGTACATCAACCACCTGAAGAAAGTTATTCCCGCAGTGATAGAAGGCAGTGGGCGAGCAACGGGATTTTGAATCAGCTAAAAAACCAACCGGCTCTTTTCAGAGCCAACACAACTTCAAAAATGAGATAGCATTCTTGTCATTCGTGATTATTCTGGGGTTACATTTAAAACCTAGAGAGCAACGAGGAATCCATGAAACCACTCGATATACTTCTTTTATAAATTGAGCCTGACTAACTTCTTAACATAAACTTTTTGATTTCTCACTTTTAAAATAACACGAGGATTGTGGTTACTAGCCGCCACACTTTGTCCCCTGTCACATTTGTCACATTCAAATCGAACCCCCCCCAAAAAAATAACCTCCAAAAATCCTCAATAAAAAGGAATATATGAACAGTTTTTGCGATAAGTCCAAAGGTCTTAAGCTCAATGAGACGCATGTACAATAGTTATGAACATTGCCAAAAAACCACTCAAGTTCATTGGTTTACAAATCAAAAATGGGTTTCTATACTCAAACATTACAAACTGGAACCATATATGCTTAATAAACTAAGGACAAAGGAAAGAGACAACTCTCAG